GGGCCCTCTGGCATCCCAAGCCAGTTCTTAACCATTGTGCCACTCGGCCGGCCCCTTCACTGTATTTTTTTATCAAACCTCATACGTCGCATTATGAAGATAAACACCCAGTGCTATGAAAATCGGAGCTGCCCTTGGGAGGTCAGGGGACAGAAGTGCAGAGTAGCTGCTGCTACGCTCCGCAGGAGGGGGCTCCCAGAGGGCAAGAGTAAGTGCCAAGGCCAAAGGCGGACAAGCTCGGACCGCAGCGGGCACATGGCCAAGGAAGAGATGGGAGGGGATTGGCTGGAATCGGGGCGTTAAAACCTTGAGTATCACATTGAAACAGATGGGATGTATCCAATAGATAATATCACAATAAAACATATAGATGTGCCCTACAGATGATGACACACTGGAACATACAGGCTGTACCCTACAGGTGACACACTACATAGATGGCTATATCCTATAAATAAGATCACATTAAAACACATGCGCCGTATCCTATAGATGACGGCACTGAAATGTTTCAGGTGTTGGAGTAATATATTAATAACTCAGACCTCTGTAGCGACAGAGCACCCCAGAGCCCATTGGGGTGCCACATCAAGCAAACAGTGGGATGAAGAATAAAGAAGGAATCTACAGTAATCAGGGAGTAAAACTGAAGGTCCTGGTTCTTATCCCAAGATCTGGGAGCCAGACATGGGGGAGGAATGCAGGATGACTTCCAGACGCCTGCTGTCAACGCAGAGGACATGGGGACACTCGTAACAGAATTCAGAACATGAGGGAAGGGGTGAGTGCATAGCCGGGATGCCTAGGTGGCAGGCGCGGCTCAGCGAGAGGCCCCAGGATGGCACACATACCTGGTCTGTGTCTTCTGTTATTTGGATGGGACAGGCAGCTTCTGTGTTCCACAGAAAAGTGACCACACACTCCCAAATGAGAGAAAATATGGGATGGGTATTCTGAAAGGTTAAATACAGAACAGTCAATCTAAGAAAATGGAACTCAATCTAACGCAAAGAATTACAGCCGATATATAAAAATAGCCAAACTCCCCCTGAAAGTTTATTATACATGTCAGCCAATAGGTTAGGTGCTTAACGAGCATTATCGAATTATAATTTAACATCCTCATTATTCCGATTCTGGAGATAGTCTCTCTTATGCTTGGATGCTAAGAAATTTATCTGAGGTCACGCCAGCAGTAAGTAGTGGAACTAGGTTCCAAACCGAAGTTTTGAAAAAGGCTCTCCCCCGAATGTGTACAATGCAAGAGGCCAGACACGAAGACTACAGTGTGTATGATTTCATCTATGTGAGCTCAGAAACAGGCAAAAGTGACCCATGGCATTAGGGGTCAGCACAGGGGCTGAGACATGGCCAGAAGTGGACACAAAGGGCTCCTGGGCGCTGCCAGTGCTCCGTTTCTGGTGTGGGGGGAGGGGTAACACAACACACAGGCATGTTCAGCTTGTGAAAATCCATGCAACTGATGGTGACTTATAACCGTGCACTTCGCTGGGTGTTAAACGGTTCCTAAATGTGCCTGCTGCCTTCGGTGACAGCACCGCCCTGCTCCAGGTAGCGGCAGCACCATTTTAAGAGATTTAAGAGTTTATTGCACACCAGGCACTGCTCTGAGAGTTTTATTAGCATTTCTCAGCTGAGCCTCACAATGACCCCATGAACCAGGTTCTATAATTACCCACCATCTCTATACAGATGAGAACAGCCAGGCACAGAGAAGAGACCTGCCCAGGCTCACAGGGGAAGGAAATGACAGTCATGCACCCCAAGCCCACACCTTTCCCACCAGCCACCCTCTGGCCTGGAAGTCCCCTACCCTCTCAGCCTCAGCGTCTCCCACAGTAAAACATTATAAAAACACATCCGACCCTCTGTCTCACAGCGCGGTGGTGAAAACTGAGCTTAATTCTGACACTTGCACAACTCTCTGTGGACGTGACCCTCTTTACTATCTCCTAGACCCACAGTACATACCAGGCCCTGTACATGTGCTGAGAGATACAGTGACAATGTGAAATTGCTCTGAAAACGCAAAAAAACACCGTTCAAACTAGGTGTCACAGGACAGCTGAAAAACTAAGGATCCAAGAGAACTTGCTAGAACTGCCCCATATCGCCATGGCAGTAAGAAACCAGACAGTGGCAGGGTAGGTGTGAGGTTCCAGGAGGGGACACACAGATATGCCCTGGAGGTGGCAAGGGCCGGGCTGGGCCACTGGATTCCTTCCTGAGACTGAGGGAGGAAGACGGGAAACTGAGGCCCGGGCTAATCAAGGAGTGTGGAGCCCCTTCCTTGTCCAACAAGGGCCCATGCTCTGCGAGCAGGTAACTTCACTCCTTATCAGACACAGCTTGTTGAACTGTAAAGAGATGATCTCTTGGAAAACATCGTGTGTTGGCAAACAACATGGAGGACTTGGGGTCTGCAGGACGACTGGAAGGTAAGCGAGAGTCCACTGGACTGGGGAGTGAATACAATGTGCTACTTCGTTACGATGAAGCTAGAAGAAGCTGTACCGGACCCCTAACAAGCAGACTTTTAAATAATTTATTTGATAATTTAAACATGGGTTCCAGTATCTCCACTCTGCATTTATCTAACAGTTTGGCAATTACTCGAAAAACATGTATACATGTCAAACTCCAGGTAAAACAGGAACTGGGTTTGGGATGATAAAGTTTTGGAAAATGGATACTGGTGATAAGCACACAACACTGTGAATGAATTTAATACCGCTGACTTGTATTATATACCTAAAAATGGCTAAAACAGTAAATTTTATGTTACATATTTTTTGCCATAATTTTTTCCAAAAAGAATAAAGAAAAAAGCAACTGGGACTATACAGAATGACCCCAAAGCATGTATATTTGAAGTTTTCTCTTCTGTTCTGTCCCAGCTAAGGAACTCAGGGCCAAATGCAATCTCCATCACCTTTTTATTTTCTGGCCTTACTTAATTTTTTATGCCAGTTTTGCCAAGGAACTACACATATATTCCTCATTGTCTGCCCATGGGCCTGAGCTGAACCAAGGCTCAGTTTCCTTATCGTAAACTTTGGGGTTTGGACTGAACCATCTCTAAGACCCATTCTGCTGCCACGATCCTCTGATCACCAACTCACAAGAACTAACAGACCAGACGGTGCCTGTACTACTCAGAGACAAAACTCAAGTCTATAGAACAGCATAGAGTGTATGTCACAATACCAGCAATAAGACAATTAGCTTAAACTTCAGGAAGTACAGCCACAAAAGCACCATTGCATGCTCTCTGCCTCATCACATGCTGACCTGAAGCAGAATTGAGAGCAACCTAACTCCTCTGCCCATCACAGACTTGTTGGTCTCCGTTAAGAGACACATCAGGAAGTACTCGGTCCCAGAAGAACCCAGAACAACCCTGGTCATGGGACGAGCAGAGCTTACCATGCTGCCGCTGGAACAGACGAGATGGATCCTGGTGGTGTAGGTGGTGCGTGTCCCATCGCTGGTGGTGCAGGCTGAGCCGTTGACATACTCTAAAAGGAGGCTGCCGCTATCCTCCACCGTGGGGCCTGTCTTGGCGACTCCCAAGTTACTGATGGAAACTACTTCGGAATACGAACCCTGCAAACAAACATGTCTGTTAGGTTCCCCTCTGAAGAGAAAACAGCTGTCCTCATTACTAATACAGCTGATTCTCATTATGCCCAGTAGCTGTGGTCTGTAAAGTGGCTGCGAATGCTGAATTAGTGAACACGCAACCATTGGGGAAAAAAATGTACCTCTACGCATCTCGCTTAAAATATGGTTTTAAATTCTCCAAACAACTCATGTTGGTAGGTTCTATTTTATTTTACCAATGGGAAAACAAGGTTCAGACGTAGTCAATGACTTATCCAAGGCCACCTGCTGACAGGCATCCGAGGCGAGACTGAAGCCCCGTCCTGCTGGCCTGGAGCCAGGAGCTTCTGGCCCCTCACTGCCCGGGCTCCTCCTGTCCCCATCCTCTGGTAGGCTCAGTAGGAATGCGACAAGAATGCACAGCGTCACCCTGTTCCACCCCAGCAGGGAACATGCACATTGGGCCACTTTGCCCATGTCCCAAATGACTGTAAAAGAGCTGCAAGGACTGATTTTGAGTAACAAATGTTAGCGAGAAGATGAATCCGCAAATACAGAATCCGTGAATGAGGCCAGGCCGTACTCTGAGGCCACTGCTCCCACAAAGGGTGCACACGTCCATGCACGAACAGGGAACTCAATTCTTAACCAGCAGAGCGCGTGCCAGCTTCAAGACGCCTCCAAGCTGCCATGTAACATACGCCAGGAAAAGCACATTCCCGACATGCTATTTTTAAAGAAGCACACATCCATCTTTATTTTAAGAGTCCCCGTGTAAGGAGCACATGGAAAACGTACCAAAGTCCTGACAGTAGCCACACTCAATCGACGATGAGCGCCCCGAGCGAGCGAGAACTAACGCTTGGATCTAGCTCACCCACAGCAGCTCTGCCAAGCCGGTTTCCCCACTAATTAGCCAGAAGCGAGAGCTTTTGGAAGCAAAAACTGTTCTTCACAGATGTCTGCTGGTCACTCAAAGGCACCTTTGAATTCAGGCTAGACACTCCATCAGGGGCTTCCTCTGCCTCGTTCTGTGATCCGAGGCCACCAACACCAAGGTTCGTTTAAAGATTTAAATCTGAACAGTGATTCCCGTATGATTGCACCCACGGGGGCAGATGTGTTTACTCAGAGGTCCCCCTTCAGCAGCCAGGCACACTTGGACCTGGAGTCCTGAAATAACCATGTCTGCCCTCGGAGGCGTGTGCTCAGGAGAGAAAACCAGATCACTGGGAGGCAGACTCACCTGGCTGTTTTCATATTTCATCTGGCAAGCAGACGCGTACCGATCACAGCCCGGCACGGGGTTCAGAGGCCGGCACACATTGATGTAGTATTTCCTCCACGTGTTGTGTTCTCCTGCGTTGTCCATGGCATACCAGTTTCCTCCACGGCCCCCTTCAGATTTTGCTAGACTAAAATTTCAAAGCAAAACGTATGTTTCTGAAGCCTGCAGATTTCAGTCTGACAATCATTTCCAGAAATCCAGAATGAAATATCCCTCCCAGTCACACCATGGAAGTCGGCTCGTCATGACTCACGCCACTCAGGAGCACCCTGGACTTTCGCTACACTCAGCATTCAGCACACCTTGAACTGCCCCCGCACCCCTGTGCACAGTCGCTCGCTGATACAGCTCAAGACTGAGGCTTTGCAGAGACAGACACAGGCTGATATCACAAAGGCTACCAGACCACGATGAGAATTCATTCTGCTTAAAACTCCCCATCATGGCCCAGTACCCCAGAACTAAGGGACTCCCTATCATGGCTCACTCACACGCTCACCAGCAAGGTCTAACAGACCTCAGCACTAACTGGACCTGGGCCGAGGCCAAGAGCAGGCTGACCCCACCTCACCTGGAGAGGTCGTACTGCTCCATCGTGGAAGGGTCGGTCACCACGCACTCCAGGGGCTCCTCCGGGCAGGCGTAGCTGGTGTACCACCGGAAGTTGTAGGTAGAGTTATCTTCCTCCTAATCACATGACAAGGAGACACGGAGTGGATGGCAAAGAGAAAAGGGAATGTTACACAAAGCCAGCGTTTAAGAAATGACAGGGGCATCTTCTGTAAATAAACGCTGTGGGAAAGGAAGTTTACTTTGCCCATCTTCCTTCATTAAGGAAGACTGACTAGTAATAAATTAAGATGGAAATCTAGTGTTGTAAGGTACAAGTCTCGAGTCAGGCAGACAACAACACTAGCTAGGCCAAATCAGGAGTCTTTATTACAAAGCCGGCGACTGCGAGGAGTCTCGTGCCATCAAAAGGACTTGCAGCCCCAAAGGGAAGTTGGGTAGGGTTTATAAAAGCAAAAACCACAAAGGTATATTGAGGCAGAAAATTCCATTGAGTTATACAGAAACTAACAACAGATCCAAATAAGGAAGTTCTAAGCATGGGAGACATGTTTAAGTGGAATGTCTCTTAGACCCCAGCCCCTCCATTACTGGGCTGGGGTCCCTTGCTAGCAAAGCATTATTACGGAAGCTAAGATAGCAGGATTATATGAACATCTAACCTTATTAACTATTAGTACAACTTTTAAGTATTAGCTAGATATATCCTGTTACTGTTGCTGGGCAGAGATTACCTATAAGGGAAGAGAAACTATGGGGCCTGTAGAGGAACGCTTGGGTTTTTCTGGGCTCCTATTGGCACAGGGTAAACTGAGGCAAGGTACAATTACAGAAGTGGCGATACTAAGGCTATAATTCCACAGCCTATTATTCGCATGCACATGATTTCCGAGAACAGCTGAGGGGGCCAGATAGAGGCCATTTTATAATGCATGGCTTGAGTTTATTTATTAAAAAAAGCAGGGGACCTTTCTTCACTAGCTTCTATTAAGTGGGAATGAGGGATGGTTTTGAGGCTTTTGTGTGTTTTGTACCCAAAACCAACAGGGTTGTGGACTATCACTGAGGAGTATGGCCCACTGAATAAACAGCTCAGAAAACAAATACTGCCTATGTGCCCTGGCGAATCGAAAAAGATTAATTAAATTCTCAAGCAATGATGTCGTATTTCCCCACGTATAAGATGCTCCCACGTATAAGATGCACCTTAATTTTGGGGCCCGAAATTTGAAAAAAAATGTATTCCATAAAGTTATTGAACTCAAGTTTTATTCATCATAAAATTCATACAACTCCTCATCACTTGTGGGAAATGCAAGTAAAAAAAAATCTGCAACCACTGTATAAGACACACCCAGTTTTTAGACCCCAAATTTTTTTTTAAAGGGTGCATCTTATATATGGGGAAATACGGTAATTTGACCTGGAAAACAGACTAACAGTAGCTCTGCTTCTTAATAAAGGGTCCACGGCAGGTTCGTGTGCACGTCTTGGGGAGCAGACAACTTGACAGCTCGTCTCCAGGGAACACCCCAGCTCATGGCCCACTTACGGTTAAACCTTATCTCACTTCAGAAAAGCCACACGCCCTGTCGTAACTGCTTTCTTCTCTCCTTCTCCTGCCTTTCTTTGTGAGCCTAACGCCGTCAGTGTGTCGGCACACACACGCGCACACATATGCGCGCACACACCACATTCCTACCTGATACTCAGGGACACCGACTCCAGCCTCTCGGTCACAAAGGAAGGTGATGAGTGTGGCTCTTGGTGTGTGCTTTTCATTATTATAGGGCGTACCATCTTTGTAGTTCAACTGGATCATCCCATCATAATAGGAAAGCTTAGCATTACTCAGTCCCAAGTTCCAAGCCTTCTTATCACTAAAACAAACAAATGTCTCTCAGAAAAGATACCAGGACCGGAAGCACTGCAACACTGTGATGCTGGAGGAAGGGCCCATGTGCAGTGTGGGGGAGGAACTGTGACCAGGACCCAGCCCTGCACACCACCCTGATCCCGAGTTAGGATGTCTAAGCCCAGAGGGTGTGACAACCCCACCCCGACTCTGGAACCCAAACCCATAGCTGCTTCAAGATACAGCTCACTGCATTTGAACTAACACTGTTCAAATGTTAGTTCACATCATTCAGAGAACTAACACTGAATGACAAAACATGCACATAAATATCTAACAACTGAGAAGGGCCAGCTACACAGAAGTAAGGCATTATGTCAATTCATTCTTGTTTTCCAAGGGTGTGGCCTGCTCCTTCTCTGGGAATTTAACTCCCAACATCCTCCGGGGTTTAGGTTAGCTCTTCTCAGTGTGTAGATGCTCACTGTAAAGCAATGACATAAGCAGAGACCACACCTATTCCTGAACAAAATACCTGTTAGCATACAACAGACACCTCAGGAAAGACCTGTAACGGAAAATAGCGACTTGCCTTTTTGCTACCTGACAGGCTCCCGAGCCCGGCTGACAGGAGTCCACAGACACCGCAGCACAAACGTTTATGTAAAAGTCATACTTCTCTGTCTGAACCTTATAGCCGTCTTTCTTTGTGAGAGGTGACAAATCAAAAGAAAACCCTGCGAAAGAGTGAAAACAATCCAAGAATGGAAGGTCAGTCAGACCACAGTCATGAAGGGTGACCTCAGCTCACAGCTTGAAGGACAAACATTCCTCCCAGTGGCAGGAGGCCAGAAGGGCAGCAAGGAGGCTTTTCCCTTCGGGCCCCCAGAACCGCAGCGCCCGCCATGCCCCTTGGAGATGGAGTCATTACCATTTTACACCGTTAACCTAAAAATTCTATCAAAGTATATAACTGCTGGTCAAATATACAACCAGTACATTCAAAGCAGGATGATAGCAACACAATGACCTTCGTGGAAAGTCTAAGTTTCTTGGCCAGAAACACACACGAAAAGCCTCTTCAAACATGATTTAGTTCCTTGTGACCCTCAACCCTTGTGACCTCAACCATGAACTCAAGGCTTTTCACTATCTCAAATAAGCCCCAAACGCCGGATTTTCAGAATTTGGGTCAAACAGTATCACTATAATTCTAAAGCAGGTGCCTCTAAAACACTCATAGAAAAGCAGGCCCAGGCAACACTAAGCCACGCACCTGCCTGGGAATCAAAGACCGTGCAGTTCTCTCCCTCGGTCCTCGACAGCACACAGGCTGCGGCCGTGTGCCACTCAAACTCGTAGAAGCAACCGTCATCCCCGGAGGTCCTCAACACCGGAGCACTTTCTAGGTCACCTGTCAGTGGGGAAGAAAAGATCCATCACTAACTGTCCCCGGAAAATCTTCTTCTACAAATTGTCCTGCGAATATTGTAGGATCCCACTTACATAAGTTCCCACAGTAGTGAAAACTACAGATGCAGAAAGGCTAGCGGCCAGGGCCAGGTGACGGGTGGGGAGTTAGTGTTCAATAGGCGCAGCGTTTCCGTTTGGGAAGACGAACAAGTTCAGGGGACGGACGGCGGTGACGGTAGCGCAACAATGTGTACGTACTTAATGCCACTGATCCATGCCACTTAAAAATGGTGAATTTCCTATTATATGAGTTTCACTATAATTTTTTTAAAACGGTAGATGTTGTATTATGTATATTTTACCCTAATTAAAAAAAAATAAAAAAGGGGGGGGTCCTAGCCCTGGATCTTATCCCACAGCTGAGAATTTATCCAAAGGAAATATTTCAACAGGACGTGGAGAGGATATGTGATAGCACAATTACCAACGCTGGAANACCATCCTTTTGGGTGACCTGGGCTCTGCCGTCAAAGGATCCGCTGCCTAGCGGAGATTTTTAAGAGGGAGGGAGGGAAATACGAGCTATGACCAACAAATACAGTGAATGTTTAAATTTAAAAAAAACTTGGGCTGGCCGAGTGGCACATTGGTTAAGAGTTGGCTTGGGACACCAGCTCTGGGCAGCAGGGCCCCAGTTTGGATCCCACATGCGGGCCAGTGATGCTGCCCTCTACAGCTAAGATGCTGAACAACAGCTCAACCTGGAGCTGGGCTGCCGTGAGGCGAGAGCGTAGGCTGCAGTGGGGCTGGCCGGCAGCGGGCGTGCACTTTCGTGAGCTGCCATGAGCCGCCGTGAGTGACCATCCAATGGCCAGCGGGCAGAGCAACTGCCTCACCCAAGAAGAGCGCAGTGATAACACCAACATGGGCCAGTGAAGCGACGTCCTCCACTACTAGACTGAAGAACAAAAGGACAGCAACTTGTCTGTTCCCCTTCCCTGATTCCCCAATGCTGTTGCCCTCCCCCAACTCCCCAATTAAAAAAAAAACAAAAAAAAAAAACCTTAAGGCCAGCCAAGTGGCTCAGTTGGTTAAGAGTTTGCTTAAGAGCACAAGCTCTGAGCAACAAGGTCACTGGTTCAATTCCCACATGGGCCAGTGAGCTTCGCCCGAGCTGAGCTGCCGCTGAGGTGCCAACAGGTGGCAGGATGGCTCAGCTGGTGAGAGCAGGTGCTCCTAATGACAAGACTGCCTGTTCGATGGTGGGCTATGCCCACCCGCAGCTGGGACTGAACTTGGCACCTTGAGCTGAGCTGCCGCCCGGATGGCTCAGTGGATAGAGCGTGTGCTCTTAACAGCAAGGTTGCTGGTCCGACTCCCGCATGAAAAAAAAAAGAAATTTATTACAGTATAAGACACATTGCCATTAATCCCCCTCAAAATACTTCTCTCTTCAAACACACTTATCCCATCATTCTTGCCACTTTCTGAGGCAATTCTGTAAGTCCTCTTTCGTGAGTGTCTTTAGTTGTGCTGTCCTGGCTGCCTCGATGTCCTGAATCATTTTGACTTTGGAGAAGAGCTAGAAGTTGCACAGTGCCAGATCCGGTGAATAAGGTGAATGAGNCAGTCTCTGTGTATCAGTCCTAAGGAAGAGGAAGCTGCCCTGAGACCCAAGACTTATGTGGAAAATTACAACATGACTCCCTCGGACACCACGTGGTTTGGGGCAGGGGATGGGGGATCCAATCCAAACGACCACCACTGAAGATTCTGGAACCTGAAATGCCTCCTCACTTTGACAGTGGCCAATGAGAAAGAGAGAAATGAAGAATGTGGCGAAAAGCCACAAACACATTTCATCCTTTTCTTTAAATTTTTACCTGGCTTGCACACAAGTGTTATATTAGTTTGTATTTTCTTCTCATCACTGCAAGCATCACCATCTGAATAAGAGAGTTGAATGTTTCCTTTCTCTTTTATGGGAGAAGAAATAAATTTGCCCAGGTTTTTACTTCCACTCTTATCTGGAAAAAAGAAAGAAGGGGGAAGAAAACAGAAGACATGATTAGAAATGATACTGACACAGACAAGGAGGGACCAAAAATGAGCCAAGACCCAGCAGGTGTACCGTGGCCCCTTTCTCGGCTCGTGTGGCCTGGCCCCGATGGTCGACGGGTTTTTCTTCAAATCAGTTTGGCCTTGGTGGCAGCCATTTTGAAAATGCCACCTTCAGGCTTAGCAAGAAATGTAAGAATGATAAACAACATCCTTTGTGGCCACAAGAGGCAGAAAGGCAAGCATGACATCCGGTAAAGTAACACTGTTGCCCCGTTTTGGAGGGCCTCAGCTCCCCTGAGACACAGGCCTTTTAAAAGCACAGCCAAGGGGCTAGAGTGTGTCTCATGAACAAAGCAGAAACTAACTAAACCTGTTCAGCAAGCCAACAGGGCGGCCATTTGAATTCTGGGTTCAGCTGATTTTTACTATCAAGTCCTGAAACTGTGCGCCACATCCTTAAACAAAGGCATGGACATGCCTGGACCTGCTTTGAAAGACACACCACCAATCCCGAATACTGGGGTAATTCCTAAAACCCAACCTGGGTTCACAAGTCCCATTTCATGTTTGTAACAGGTTCTAATTACTCTCCCTGCCTGTGATTTTCGAGGTGAGTCTTCAGTGACAACTAAAGTGCCACATATCAACATCAAACTGAGATGTCTCAGCAGGTCAGCTACAGACCAACAATTACAGCAGAAGGGACCTAAGGGCCACAGCGCTCTGGCACGAAGACGACAATGTGAGATTCCAGTGGCCTTACACCACAACTTCTGAACAATTCCAGGTGGTAAAGGTGTTAAGAAACCAAAGTCAGCTTTGCACACGTCCTGGCCATGTTATTCTTCAGGTTCCGAAGTGAAAAGATAACCGAGTATTTTCCAACATGGTTCTTCCCGTCCCCAGTCACGGCATTTGCCATCTCAGAGGCTGTGGCCAACATCCGGCCCCTGAAGTTCCAGTTTCCAGACCACACCAAGCAGTTACATTTGGGTCATTCAATGTTGTTTTTAAACCATCCTTTACAGGCTGGACCCAGAGAGCGGAGGCTGAGATGAACCACAGGGAGCTTTTCTAACTCGCTCCAAACTGGATGCGGCCAGTTCCTTCAGGAGAACTGGTCCCTGGGTCCTCGCGCCACCGGCACCACTTACCGACAGAGCACACGGCAGCGTCCTCGGGGCAGCCTCTCGCCCGGCCTTCCTGCAGCACTCTGTGGCAGATATTAATAAAGAAATGCTTCTTTTCTGCTTCCTTCTGGCTGCCATCCACGGCTTCCCAATTCTGTTCCGGTTCTGTTTTAAAAAAAAAAAAAAAAAGCTTCTTTAGCCAAAGGCAGTGATTATTTCTCTGTGAGTCACACCACAAATGATGACTAAGTGAAGGGAAAGACCCAAAGTTCAAGGAGCTGGTGGCCACTGAACCTCAGGCACTCATGTTTCTGGACCCAAGCCGGCTGCAGGCACGTCCACTCCCCGAGGTTCTCAGCCTTCTCATTTAATGGGACAGAAACGAACCGTGCGCGATACCTCCTCAGAAAAGCAATCGTAAAGGACGGCATTGAACAGCAGGGCTCTCCCGAGCCCCCGAGGACAAAAATCAGAAACCGAAAGTCAGCAAATCCAGACGCCGCCGTGTCTTGGGACCTGGCTGCGCCTTGTGCCAGCAGTAACGCACCCTCCGTTGGGACCATCGAGAAGGCCTGTGCAGCTACAAGAAATCTGCCAGCGCTTCCACACAAGCACCCCGAGTGTGGGGCAAGGGCCCAGTGCCACCAGGAGATAAACAGGACGTGAGTGATCCCTGGAAACAAATGGTTCGTGATTCAGTCATATGCGAACAGAAACAGATCAAACATCCACAGAAGGCAGGGGGAGCACCTGCTGAGTGCTAAGAGCATGACAGCAAATCAAGGGGTGGTCACTAAAGGCAGGCCATCCCATAAACAGTCGCCGAAGGAATGAGTTAGAGCTGTGAAGAAGGACGTAAGATGTGAAGATGCTCCTTTTCCAGACTGGAGACTGGGGTGCAGAGGAAAGCCCCACAGCTCCTCAGGGGTGATGCAGTTACGGTGGCAGAAGGACATCCGAGTGTCAGCGACCTGGAAGAATCCAGGATGGCCGTGCGTGCAAACAAGGACACTGTTCTGAAAGTTTGGGTTAGAGTGGAGTAAGCTGAAAAGCCCTAAGACAGGAGGACTTTTTAAGTTAGTAAGGAAGGATTTTAGCTCTCACCTCACGGCTTCCTTAGAGTCACCTGGGTGCAAATGCTATAAAAACATTCCAAGTCCCTGCAGAACCAGAGTGGTCGCCTGAGTAAATGAATGCATCTCTGCCTCCCTCACAGACCTAGGTTGTGTCTTGCACAGTGATATTAAAAAAAAAAAAAAAGAAAGTTAAAGGAATCTAATACCACCACTCGGTTTACTGTAAGAAAACTGAGGCCTGGAGAAGGCAGGCAACTTGCTCAAGTAAACATGACTGGATACAGCCATACCAGTCCTCAAACTAGTCTCTGGTCAGCGGGGAGAGCCCTCGCCACATGTTGCACAAAACCGATCTCTTCGTGAATACGCATGCACCAGAATTCACCATGGCACCGTTCCCAGCAGCTTAACGGGTGCTGGACTATTACACTAAAGCACACAGAGCACAGGCTTCTGCAGTCCTGTGTTCAAAGGAAAGCTCTCAAATACTCCACAAAAGAGAATTCCTCTTCCTGATATTATACTTTCCAAACCAGATGGGAGTCAGGACACAAGCTCCTATTGCAGCTGGTAATTCTGGTGACTTCAGGCTAGTCATTCTCTCTACCTTTGGTATTATCTCCACTTCACAGGTGCAACTCACATATATATACACACACAGGCACAGGCGCACGCGCGCACGCGCACACACACACACACACACACACATACACACAGAGAGGGTGCCAAAAAAATGTATACATATTTTAAGAAAGAAACGCTGTATTGAAATTGTAACACAATACATACGGATAACAAAAGATGAATACAAGTCACGTTTGACTTCTGGAATTACAAGAGGTGCTCAAAGTGGTTACCACTAACGTCCAGACACTTCTGATTACAGGGAACTACTAAAACATTGACCAGTGTCTACCTGTACGCATTTTTTTGGCACCCCTGGTTAAGGCCCATGGGGAGGGGTCACGCTCCTCAGGTTTGCTGCTGGCTCCCCAGGACCTAGCCTATGCCTGCACACAGCAAATGCTCAAGCGCTCTTTCAGCAGATGAAAGCATTTCCCACACAGGTCTTCATGGCAAGCCAGGCTTCTGCAACAAACCCCACGTCTCACCGATACAGCACTACCCTGGGTCCCAGGGGCTCCCCCATCCATTCTCCTTTCAGCCTCACCAAAGCATCTCAGGTGAAACAGGCATGCTGCTCCCTTTCACAGGCGGGGAAATAAGCAGTGAGACAAAGGGGAGACGCATGGGGTCAAAGGCATGGACGGACCCAGCCTCACTGACCTTCACACCAAGCCTGACAGTCCGTCCAAGTGTTAGGTGGGAACACTGCCTACCTGCAGGTTGTTGTAAGCATTTAAATGTATTTTTTTTTTGTTAAACATTTTATTGGGGAATTGGGGGAGGGGTACAGTGTTGGGGAATTGGGGAGGGGGAACAGCCAAGTTGTTGTTCTTCAGTCTTAGTTGTGGAGGGCACCAGTAGCCATCTGACTGCCCGTCGGCAGCTCGTGGCCTCTAAGCTCAAGGTGCTGTGTTCAATCTTAGTTGTGGGTGGGCACAGCCACCATCTCATGTGGGAGTCGAACCAGCAGCCTTGTTGTTAAGAGTGCATGCTCTATCCACTGAGCCATCCGGGTGGCAGCTCAGCTCAAGGTGCCGAGTTCGGTCTTAGTTGCGGGTGGGCATAGCCCACCATCGAACAGGCAATCTTGTTACACCAGGGGAGCCATCCTGCCACTTGTTGGCAGCTCAGCGACAGCTCAGCTCAGGCGCAGCGTCACTGGCCCTTGTGGGAATCAAACCGGCAACCCTGTTGCTCAGAGCTCACGCTCTTAAGACAACTCTTAACCAACTGAGCAACTTGGACAGCCCTAAATGTATTTTTTAATTGAGATATAACTGACATATTAACGTTGTGTTAGATTGAGGTACACAACATGATGATTGCATGTATGTATATATTACAAAATGATCACCACAGTAACTTTAGTGAACATCCACCACACAGTTGTGTGTGTGTGTGTGTGTGTGTGTGTGTGTGTGTGTGATGAGCACTTTTAAGATCTGCTCTTTTACCAACAAGAGTTTAAATTAAAAAAAAAAAAAAAAGTTTCTAATCACACAGCACACAAGACCTGGCACACTGGCAGTTTTTACTCAATTGTGATAAGATTAGCCCAAAGTACCCTAAGTAGAAAACAGTAATGCCAATCTCAAGTTCAGATATTTTGACTCCTGATTCAATGTCATTTCTAGGAATTCGTATTACTATATAAGGAGGGGGAGCCATGATAGGATCAGCTGACAAAGAGAACAGTAACAGCATTCCCAAACATATTCATGGGGAAAGAGGCCAGGGCGAGTCCCCCAGGAACACAGGACTGAGATGCACACCGGCACGAGAGCCCTACCTGAGTGCCGGGCCAGGGCCGACAGGTCGTACCGCCTCTTCCCGTCGGTGACGCTGCACAGCAGGTCTTCCTTCTCTTTCACACAGGCATGCTTTGTGTCCCACGTGAAGAAATAGGTGCAATCCACCTCACCGGTGAATACAGGCGTTCCTTTCCCACCATTAACTGTGCAATGTGAAAAGGAAAAATGGAACACTCCGTTATGTGACCAGACCCAGGAATGTCAAAGGAGCAAGGGAAGAAACAGGACCACCAATGCCAAATGTGCAGTTAAACAAACGCTAGTCCCAAACCCCAGAGATCAGAAGGCTCAGAGATTAGCACAGCTTCTGCTGAGTTTCAGATAACCCTAAACCCCTCAAAGGCAGGCCCATGTCCCTTTCATCTTGATAGCACGGTCTCAATAGGCCATAAGGCTGTTTACAACACGTTCAGTGGGGACATGGCACGGGTGCCAGTGAGGAACACGGGAGCCACCAGGCAGGGCTCTGCTGCTCCTGGGTTGCCGGCAGCCTCCAACAGGCCCGTGAACAGCCTCTGGGTCGGACCAAGGCTTCACCAAAAGGCAGGCAGAGACCAGAGGTCCCGTTCCAGGACTGCCACTGGCTTGATGATGTGAGTGTGAGCAAGACAAGTTCCCTGGGTCTCATCCCTAAAATGAGAGAATGTCAATGTCTACAGTTGCTCCCAACTGAAGCGTGCTGAGGTCCATGAAACCTCACAAAGCTGGAGACACACCTCCAGACGGTGCCAGCATCCTTGATCCTTGGGACGTCATCAGTGCATGTGTCTCTAACGCCCTACTCAAATCAAATCTCCTGGCCCACCACCCCCAAGGAACCCCACAGGCTTCCCAACTGTGAGCCCTAACAGTTTGGCTCTGGTCTGAAAGCCAGCTTTTCCAGGGTCACTTCCCCAGTCCATGAAGCCTGGGCTTCTGTGACCTGTGTTGACTTTCTCCCCTCACCTTTCCAAGCTGGTGGGCTGCTGGCCCAAAGCCCCGTCCCCGACCCCTGGGAAGTTTAACGATCCTCCTCTGGACTCCAACATGCTCGCCTTTCTTGAGGTTGGGTGTGCTTCCTAACCATGTTCTCCAGGAAGGGGTAGCAATATTTTGCACCAAGGACAAATGATGTTCCAACTGCAATTTATATTCAGTATGTCACATGGTAAACATCATAACTGTAACACCAGTAACAGCAGCTACCCGGGGCTGAGCACAGTCTGGGCCAGACACGAGGCAAGCGTCAGTGCCACGTGGACGCTGGCTGCAGAAAACAGGCTCCGAGGTAAGCCCTTTATAAATGCTAGCACATTTGATCTTAAAAACCCAATGGCACAGCTACAATTTTTGCCCCATTTAGTAGACTGAGGGTGGCTAAATAATTTGTCTATGGTTTCATAGCTAGAAAGCAGAGGGGCCAGAAATCAAATCCAGGCCGTCTGGCCCCAGAGCCAGGCTTGTAAGTACAAGGCAATTACTTCCAAACTCTACTGTGGGTTTCTTCTTCTTCTTCTTCGCCTTCTTTTTTAAACTAACTACTTTAAACCCTTCTCTTTAAGAATCAGTGTTCCGGGCTTCCTTTGTGACAACACAGCACCCACCCTCTAGCTGGGACCGCTGCAGCCCTCGCTACTGAAGGAGCTGTGACACCCGCTTGCCTCGCCTCCCCACCCACATGGTTTGCTTACCGTTGACTCCTACTGGAATCCTCTCTCTCTATTTAGAAAAGATCTGTGTTTCTGCAAACTCAAAACAGTCACTGTGTTTGTCTTTTACCAGATAGGTTTACAAACGATTGAATAAGACTATGGATGGTTCCAGCTCCCATCTGTGCTTCAAAGCTGGTTTGGCATCTGAAACTTACTAATGGTTTGCAGGGAGAGTCAGTTTCATTACCATCGGGGTCCATCTTACCTGTCTTCTTCTTTAATTCTTCAAACAATTTTAAGAGAATAGTAAGCTAAGACCCCTCTCTACCAAGCCACATTTATTTGTTTTTACACACAGTGGGCCTTGCCTTCAGGACCACTGTTCCAGGGCTGGGGGTGTGGGGATGGTTTCCATCCATCAGCAGAATTAGTATTAGCCTTTCACTATCTCTCCGTCAGTCACTCAATCCTGAAAGCACCATCCTGGCCATCCTGCCTCCGCAGATTGGTCCCAGCTCATCACTTTACACGGCCTCACGTATGCGGATTCTATGAGCAGCTGGGGGGAAAGGAGATTTTCCCAGTGGAACCAAGGAGGTCTCTGGCTAAGTAGCGGCAGCACCCATTCCTCCATCCCTCTGTGGCAAAGACAGTGCTACCTACTCACCAAGTTGGCCTAATTTTCCCTCTAGGCTCACAGCTAAGCTACATTTCCCAGGCTTTCCTGCCTCTGAGGTTGGGCCAGGCCACTTCCTTCTAGCCCAGGGGTCGGCAAACTTTTGAGACGAAGAGCCAATCCTGTCCCTCACAACAATTTAAAAATTATTCGAGAGCCATAAAACAAATGAAATCACCATTATGTGAATAATATCCTTTAAAAATGTTATAAATGAAACTGATAGCTTTATTTTCATTTTCAATTTGACTTCAGAGCCACATGTACGTACCCAAAGAGCCGCAAGTGGCTCGCGAGCCGCAGTTTGCCGACCCCTGTTCTAGCCCATTAAAACAAAAATGCTGAGGGCCAGCCAAGTGGCTCAGTTGGTTAAGAACTCGCTCAAGAGTGTGAGCTCTGAGCAACAGCAGTTCGATGCCCGGCCTGAGCTGAGCTGCCAACAGGTGGCAGGATGGCTCAGCTAAAAAAAAAAACAAAAAAATGCTACTCCCATTCTGCAGAGTCCTTGGAAGCCAAGTCTACAGACAGCAGCATAACTCGATGGAAAACGCAAAGGGCCCTGAATGGAGCAGACCCCCACCTCCAGCCCCTACAATGACCTAAACTGATCTAAAGAAAATAAACCTTTAATGTAATGAACCAGTTAAATTTGTGGGTCTCTTACTAGCCTATCCTAATACCTTTACTCTTCCCAAAAGAATGATCTGATCCCTTGACAGTATTACCAATAATAAGGTCCGACAAACCAGATGTAAGTTATTGAAACAAATGGTTAAAAAAAAAAAATATATATATATATATATATATATATATAGGCTAAAAAACATTAATTTATGAACCCTATATTCATAGTACAGTATAAATAATTCCTGGTGATCCAAGTTAAACTATAAACCTTACTACATTATATTACACAGCCAATTAACACCCATTCACATGCAAAAATACATTACTACATTTATTCAATAAACACAGAATCCACCAACGGATTTTCTGTAAAAACTCTAAATTTAAATTTGGACAAAGTAATGATGAAGTAATTTGACAGTATATATATACAGTTTGCTCCATTTGGAGTGCTGAATCACAGAGCTGAAAGGAGTCTTAAATGCTCTACAGTCCAACTCCAGGCTGAGAGCAGGCTCAAACTCTCTCACAAAACATCTAACATCTCACCATCTGATCTCCTGGTCATAATCATAATGAAAATAGCCTAACAAAACACCGAGTTCCTGGCATGAGGGCATCATTGTTAGTTTTGTCAGGTCTGAGGTTACGTGAAGGAACGCCCTATCTCAGGGTCGGGGTGGGGTGTTATGATCTATTAGTGGTATATGATTCATAGGAAGCAAATTTGGCAAAACATTAATGACCATTCAATCTGAGTGGCGGACCTATAAATTTTCATTGTGATGTTCTTTCTACTTCTGTGTTTCAAAATTTTTCTTTCAAAACAAAAAGTAAAGGAGAAAAAGATACGGCCTTCGGTATTTTTTTTCATGTCACGCACAGCTGCCTCTCCCACACCCTACAGCGAACCATGTCAGAACCTGCCCATGACCAAATGGTCAAAAGTTGTGCCACAGAAACACACAAAGCCAACAGCATGAGGGCCAGGAGGACCCTGGGTGTGGGGCAGCCACGTGTGCTTGTGCCACTGATCAGACAGGGTAGGAACCTGGCCGTCTCCAGAACGAGCGCTCTGTGGGAGGCTGGATCGGCCTGTGGGGTGCCTGGGGTCACAGCACGGAGGTCAACCAATAAGACAGCTCTCTGCTAATGACAGGATCGCATCGCATCGCCTCTCTGCGGATGCAAACTGTGTCTGGGATCTTCAAGATATGGAGAGTAACGCGGGCTTTTTGAAATGCCAGGGCCATCAAGACTTCAAGGAAGCGTATCCTAATCGCTCAGAAAAACCACACTTGCCCTGTGGCCTCTTGCAATCCCAAAATCCAACCTCTACCACAGGGCCGCCATCTTGAAAGGGTCATCTTGAAACTTCGTAAAAGAGGAGTGGTGTAGTGACAACTCACAGGAACTTGGTGAGTAAACCCACCTTGCTGGATCTGTACGCCCTATGGTGTGAGCCAGAATTCAAGACAGCATCTCCATCCCAGCAGGCCGGTGCTGGGCCCACTCCCAAAACAAATAGAGTGGAGGAAGATGGAAACAGGGCGTGTGTCATTGGCAGGGCACTCCTACCCTAGTCTGGGGACTAGAGGTGGCCACGCCCACAGGAGGACGTCTGGCTGCTCCACACAGCATTCCACGGCCGAGAACACACACACCCATCAACGCAGAGCATGGATAAAACCCCAGGGCAAACTCACCTGCGGTCTCATTGCACTCAAAGTTTATGACGCTCATCCGCTGAAAGCCGGAGCTGCATTCATCGCCTCCAAAATATATCAAGGTGAGGTCTCCATCGGAATACCTACATTTTTGTAACACACACACACACATTTGGTAGAGCCAGGGAAGAAACACGAATTTTTAAATATCTCTACTTTAAGCCCTGTGCATACCATCCACAAATCAGGGCTGACACAGAACAGCTTGCTCTCATGCCAGCTGGGGAAAACGTCTGAAGGAAATGAGTCCCAAATGCACAGGCTTATCGTCCTTTACTTCACAGTAACAACTGGCTGGGAGGAAGCACTGAAGGTTTTGCTGTGAGCACGGAGACTCCTCTGCCCTCCGTTTTGGGTTTTGTACAAAATAAATAATGGCCAAGAAGCACACAGCTTTTCCAGCAACTGCCACAAACCCAGTCTTACCTGAGGGGTCCTGGACAATACTTATTTTCTGAGAACTACATTTTGGTCCGCTTTTGTGATGGTAACGACCAAGTTAAGGGTCACGAGAATCGCACTGAATGCAACATTATTGTAGTTGTTTAAAACTTTTAAGTAATGCGAACGGCATTTCAGATTCTCTCCCGAGTGCCAGGAAAAACAAAACAACAAAAAAAAACGAAAACTCCTCGGAAAGATAAATTTTAAAATACAAAAGCCACATCAGCTATAAACTAATTAAATAACTTCCCTACAGTATGGTTCCTTTCAAACAATGGATTGTAAAGCAAACACTTTTAACAGAAGCACTCTTATTGTCAAGCCAGGAAAAACATCCAACTGTTTAGTGACAAAAGGCAACATGCCTAAGTCAAGCTGAAGGAATGCTGGCTTGACGGATTTCTGTGCCTTATGGAGAATGGAGGAGGAAGAGGAAGAGGGGAGGCAGTTACATTTCACAACAATAGACACAATGTACTTGAAAAATACGTAAAGACTGTTTACACACCGGAGGGTTTGATTCTGGAATCTTCCTGCCACTTTGACTTGAGCTAACTCAGGCTTTTTCACTTGGCAAACTGCAGCCTGTTTCCCATTACAGGGCTTTGCTTCCATTTCTCCACAGACATTCAAATAAAAAATATATTCCTTTCCATCTGAGGTATAGTGATGAGCTAAAGAAAGGTGAAGGGATGAGACAAGGCGCTGTTACTTCCATAGGGGTTAGAGGTACAGCGTTACTTCAGTCAAGCCTGACTCCCTCTCCCTCAAACGCGCGAACGCTCGCCCCAGTGGCCGGGGTCAACTCAACCCCACTCACCTCTGTCCTGCTTGAGTGGCCGGAGGTCAACGGCAATGTCATGCTGCTCACTGCTCAGAGAGCAGGTGCTGCTCTCCAAATAATCTCTGTGGCACGCATATTCGGTGACCCACTCAATCTCATAGCGGCAATTGGATTTAGCCGTGAGCTTGGGAATGGTGCCCTATCAGGAAGGGTTGGAAAGGAGCAAAATCCATTTTTGAAAATGCAGCTTAAATGCAGATTTTCTATGCTTCTGAAAAGCTCAAAAGTAAGTTACTGGGTTTTTACATTTTCCTCTTTACATTTCTGAATCATACCTGCCCTAAGTATATTTTGATTATTTGACTTGCGACATCTCCATTTACTTGCAACGTTTCCAGTCACTTTCAGAGTCACACTCAATCTTCAGCCAGTGAGCCCACACTGACCTCAACGTCTTCTAACACCCACAACCTCAGCAAGCGGCCATGACTTTGTGAAGGGCGTGGGGTCCGTTCACTCCTTTCAATCAGTGGTGCCAAGCTTGGGCCAGATGAACACCCAAGCTGAGTGGGAACCGCCGTGCATGTGAGCATCTAGGGAGATGGTCCTTAACTCCTCTCCTAAGACTGCCAAAGGGGTTCTGGGCACACCTCACCTGTGCCCCAGGGGAAGCCTGGCATCACCTACCGCGCACCAGGCTCTGGGAGAAAACTGCTTTTACAAACATGAGCTGTGAGGCTGCCTCTAGTGTGAACGGTGACGGAGGCTACAAGGTCACTATTGTTCCCTGGAGGGCAGTGGGAGAAACGTGTTACCAGCCTGAGTACCAGGCACAGCTGCGCTGCTTCTATGCACCACCACTCTGCAAACATGTCCCCAGCACCTGCGACATGCCAGGCACAAGTCCTCAGTGCTGGGTTTGCAAACACAGGCCACATGCTAAGTGAGCTAAAAAGCTGCAAGTCCAGCTCCATCTGTCTCACTCAGAACCGGTGCTTTAACCACTCGGCTCGGGGAAGTGGGACGTCTGGTGACAAGGTGCCGAGAACTAAGTGAGACACATCGGACACAAAGGCCACACAGTGCACAGTTCACTCATCGGAGATATCCAGCAAAGGCAAGTCCATCGAGACAGAAAGTAGACTTGTGGTCGCCAGGTCTGGAGGCAAAAATGGGGAGTGGCTACACCTGGGTACAAGGTTTCTTTTGGAGGTGATGGAAATGTTCTAACATTAGACTGGCAATGAATGCACGATTCTGCTCATATATACTAATAACCATTAAATTGTCCTTAAAACAAGTGAATTTTACAGTTTGTAAACTCAATAAAGCTTCTTTTTTAAAAATCTATATGACACGGTGAATGAAGGTTTACTAAAATCCCAGCTCCTAAAAGTACTCAATGAGCCAGTGTACCTGCTTAAATACACCTTCAAGTATTACACTGTCACATGAAACCCGAGCTGGAAATGGACCCTCTAGCTCCACTGATAGCAAATCAGCCTCGTCTGCTAACACCGCTAAGGGCTTCATGTCCCAGAGACGAGAAAGTGGGAAGCTCCCAATTCTCTCCACTGTTGAGTGTGTGAACCGACTCTTACTGAATGTAAAACAAACAAGGGAAACACCAAAACCACTGCCAGCCTAGAATGTCTCGTCGGGCCTCAAAGATTTCCATTCACATGTGTAGGTACAGATGGAAAGTATAACCCAATATTCCTGAACATTCAGAGCTAACGTCGAGCACAGGTCAGCCAGCCAAGCAGGGCTTCAGTAAGCAGCCCCCACGCAGCCCTGGAAGTCTGGGGACATGAAATGGAAAGCTGGCGGGGACAGCAGTTTTGTCTCTGTATCCCACCACACAAAACAGGCCAACTGCCAGCCCGAAACCAGAGCAAATTCCACGCTTGTTTGGGGGAGGAGGAGTATGGCTCCCTAGCAAAAGAATTCCACTCCTCCTCCTTCTTCCTATTATGAGAAGACAGAAATAAATTAGAGGAAAGCCCTTCCCTTCCTCCCTGGGGGATGTCTCCCTTCCATCAGCACCCACATCTGCTAAAACACTTAAACAACCCCCACACGTGCAACGCGTGCATGCAACACCGCTGGGCACCCGCCCAAGGACAGCCCAGGCTGGGGCCCTACCCGCGAGGAGTTTACAGCTGTGCTGGAATTGAGTAAACAGCCAGAGGACAGAGTAATCAGCTGCAAGGACGCTCAGGAGGGGGAAGATAGCAGAGAGGGGGTGAAACACGCCACTTGAGCCTGCAGGAGGCTTCTTTCTGGCCATAATTCTCCTACATTAGTGCCCCCAAACGTTGGTGCCCCTCACATGTCGGTCGCCGGCCTGCACAATCTCTGCCAGGTCTGCATACCCTCTGTACTAGCCGTTTCTTCCTGTTTCCAAAAACTCATTAGCTATTTTCACTTTGCCTCATCCTAAATAATAATAGCCATGAAATCATGGGTTTGGGATTGTACACATGGTGTTGCAAATAGCCACTGAAATCAGCATAACTGTGAGAATTTTAAAAATCTGTCCTTGAACTACTTACAACCATCTCCTGCAACACTAGAACAAAGGGCCATTCTACATTCACATCGAAAGGCCCCTCCAGGTGGCCCTGAAAAAGCAAACACCACCTTTTCTCCAGGGAGCCCCACCCTGCAGCCCATGGTGCAGCCGAGTCCACCCCAGGAAGCACGTTTCCCGGCAGCCCACCGAGGCACCTTTTTATTACTCCTTACCTGTACCCAGAGCCGCCACCCTGCCCAACCCCAGACCGGTGCTCTCAGGCAGCCCGAGGTAACATGTGCTGCTGGGATATCACCTGAAGACAAGCCACTCACCTCCCTGCGCTCCGACGGGCAGACAAATGTAATAGTGACAGCTGGGCTGTGACCATCACAGAAGTCGGGCTTCTCTCCCTCTTTTTTCACGTAAGTCAGCACAAGCCTGGATGACACACATTGAGGAAAGAATGTTACAAAAGTATCACTTGCAGGCTGGTCGAGTGGCTCAGCTGGTTAAGAGCTCGCTCAAGAGTGCGAGATCTGAGCAACAGTGGTTCAATTCCCGGCCTGAGCTGAGCCACTGCTGAGCTGCCAACAGGTGGCAGGATGGCTCAGCTAAAAAAAAAAGTATCACTTGCATTCAAATTAATCTGGTGCCCTGAGCATTCAGCCTACTCAATATGGGGGGTGGGGGGGCAGAATAACAATTAAAATGTAAGAGAAGTCATAGTGCAAAATAACTTTAATTCACTTCCATTTGACAAAAAAAAAATTTAAAACAAACTTCAATGTGTGATACTTTCTTAAAAAAATAAATAAATGACCAACATGTAAATTTAAATACTAAGACAAGCTGTTTGAGTAAAACAAACCAAAAAAATGTAAATAATCTAACAAGCAAAACAAACAGCAGGGCAGGCCCAGCGCGTTTCTGCCCACAAGGCTTCACGACCACTTCCTCGCTCAACAACTTCGAAGGACAAGCCAAGGATCTTTTCTCCTTAGCCTGAAGTCAGCTGAGTGTGCTGGCTGACCGGGCCTCCCACAGCCACAGCCAGAAGGACCTGGGGCCACTGGAGGGTATGCGGGTCTCTGAGGAAGTGCCACAGCTCCTGACGCACCGGCCACAGAGCCACCGAAAACTGACAGCATGCCTTTTCTCTGAAGACAAGCTCGGGCTTGCACTCATTCGATACCCACATTTTATGAAGTCCTCTCTATTCCTCCCAGTATGAAGAATCACCCATTTCTCACTTAGGACAGATGACCTTAGGGCTGAATCATGTCCCCCCACCCCCAAAACGAGTCATACGTTGAAGCCCAAACCCCCAGCACGCGACTGTATTTGGAGATAAGGCCTTTAAAGAGGTGATTACGTAAAGATGAGGTCGTTAGGGTGGGTCCGAATCCAATGACTGGTGTTTTTATAAGGAGATTAAGACACAGACACACAGAGGAAGACCATGTGAGGGCACAGGGAGAAGACAGCCGTCCACACGCCAAGGACAGAAGCCTCAGGAGGAGCCTTGGACTTCCAGCCTCCAGAACCCAGAGCAGATAAATGTCTGTTGTTGAGGCCACCCGATCTGTGGTCCTTTGTTAGCAGCAGCCCTGGCAAACTAACACAGACACTCACTCACAGAAATCTCCCAAACATTTTAAAATTTTAATACGCTCCAGTGTTTTCGGTGGACAGAAGTACGATGTATAATTGCAGCCGTGATGTGACACTACAGATCAGAGCAAGCCACCACCAGGTGTCTATCAGAGGCCCTTGGAATGGGGAGAACATCAAAACCCTTGATCCCCGTTCAGGCTGTGGTCATGTGTGGACCACTGGAGAAAAAGAGCTCTCTGCCAAGTCAGGGTACAAAGGTGGGAGAGGAGCGTGTGTGAGCAGCACGGCTTCTCATGAGAAACGAACCACCCCCCCTGGGAACTTGGGTGCCGCCGTGCCCCAGTCAGGAAGCAGAGTGTGCACCCTGGAAGGAAGCCAGCAAAGTGCCCTTCCTGTCTCTCACCCTCTGGGATGGTGTTTACAAAGAACAGATAAACACGGACATGGAATCAGCTTCACAGTGACTTGCCATGGAAAATATCCGAACACACCTTAAGGTAGCTGTTACTTAGGAAGCGATGCCTGTGTGAATATGAGCTGGATCAAGATAGAGGGTTTTACAGCTCTACGAGACAAGGGATTAGACAGTCAGCGAGCCAGCCAGCCTACCGGGCTCACAGCGATAGCCACTAACTTTACAAGCATGTGTGAAGCGGTGATTTTGCAGAAATTCTCATGCAACAAACTGAAAAGCCAGGATTGAGCTGAGGAGGACAAATGCCAACGGCAGACTGACCTGTCATTGCTCACGAGCTTGGGTCCCTCCTTGGGCTGGCCGACGTCAAACGCCTGGCTCCCTCTCACCAGGCAGGCGGCAGTGCCAGGGGGGCAGGCCCGCAGCTGCGGACTCGAGTCCCGCAGTGAGTCTGTAAAACATCGCACAGGACACTGAATCAGAGCATGCGTCAGGCATGGTAATCACGCTTAAGCTTAGGCCCAGGGTCCCTTTAAAAAAATTATCGAATTTTTTGAAGTCTCCATAAGTAGCACAAGGTAGTAGAAGTTTGGAAATAAGGAACTAGGGTCACATCCCATTGGAAGACGTTGGACAAGCCAGTGGCCTCTCGGAATGTATGACATTCGTACAGCACCACCGGCCTGCAGGGCTGCGTGGACGTGTGGGGAGGAGGAACACAAGGTGCTCACTGCACCTGGTATACACAAGGTGTGTACACACAATCACCACGGGCTCTTGTGCTCGTCGTAGTTATGGAATGCACCCCCTTTCTAGAGATACACTAACTTCAGCATTACCCCCTTTCAAGCTGTAAACAGACCAGAAAATGTGGGCACTCCATGGATTCGTGTGGGGCGGTGAGTAGAATCGTGAGAAGAACCCACAGACGGTTCTGGGTTCAAATCTTAGACCCGCCACCTACTTCCGCTACAACTTGGGTCTAAGTACACAGCTCCCCTTGCTGGCGCCCCACCTCACTGGTTTGGGGGAGGAGCAAGGAAAAGAACATACTAAGTGTGTCTAGAGCAGCGGTTCTCAACCTGTGGGGCGCGACCCCTTTGGGGGTCGAACGGCCCTTTCACAGGGGTCGCCTAAGACCATCGGAAA